ACTAATTTTTTGTTACTTTAATATTTATTAATATCTACTTAATATTAATTTTCTCATACATATACAGTGTATAAATTTAAATCTCAATATAACGAAGTTCAAAAGAAATAATTTGAAGATTGGAAAAAGACCAATTAAATTCAGCCAATTGAAGGCCCAAGTTCATTCTTTCATTTCCACACAATAACCCATTTCTATGGCCCAATTCGTCCACCCAACAGCCCAACCTAAGAAGCCTCTAGAATTCCCTAAATGACGTCGTTTTGGCGTCTCACCCTATCAGATTGTGCTTAATCCTAATTTATGTACGAACAACCATTTCTTGTCTTCTTCCCTCTGCTTCCTCAGAGACATGTCACTCTATTTTGGTGAAAATTTTCCTCCTCTTTGCATCTTAGCACTTCAGATGTTTTGCCCCATAAATCATCAACGTATCTTTAATGATTCGTTCAACACATACAGCCAAAATTCCTTTCCAGAAAATCTGATTTCGCTGCATAGCAAATCAACATCAAGGATTTGATTTGCTTTTTCAAACGGCTCTTTGACTCGATTTTGAAATCCCAACTCGAAATCCCGCCCAAACTCTATTCCAGAAAACCCTAAGTTTACACCTATAAATACCAGATTTGGTGAAGATTTTCGGCACCTTTCGCTGGCCGCTTTAAACCCTTTTTACTCGCCGTTTTTATACTCTTGTCCTGGCTATTCTTCTCTCATATTTTTAGTCGTTAGAATCACACTTTAAGGATTCGTTTCGTTCTGCCTCTATTTGTTTCGTTTAACCATAACAGAGGCGTTGCTGTGTTTGTTTCGGATTTCGAACGGTTATTCGAGGTCGCGGAGTAGAGGCCGAAAATAGTAGACCATGACGCGACCCCGTTCACTGCGCACAAAAAGAAAATTTGGAGTCTTAATGCGAGACTCCCCATACCCGAGCATGGAGTGATCACATGGCGTCTTCCTTAGAGTGCACCGGATAGCGAGAAAACAAGCAAAGCGCTTGGGGATGCCGATGGCGTCCTTCTTCTTTCTTTTCCCGTTGTTTGCCTTTTATCGTCTATGTTGTCTGTTGTTTGACTTTATGAAATTGTTTGCGTAGTTATTTATCTCCATGTTGGAAATAGTTAGCAGAAACTCATGATTAACTACCTATAGTTTATGTCTGTCTGAAAGGTCTAAGGTTAATAATTGGAATTGATTTTTAAATTGACGCCTAGGTTGACAAATATATATATTTAAATTACTGACTATTATTTTTCTCTACAGATTTTGAATATACCAAGTAAGGGTTTATCTTTGCAGTAATTATTTTTTAATTCAATCATTTCAAATTGAAACATTAAGCTTAACCTGGCGTTCTTTTAACTGTGAACTTTAACATTTTTGAAGAAGTTTAAAAAATCTGTCTGCCTCAACAATCTAGTTTTCAATGCGAAAGTAGCAGAAGTTCACCACATTTGCTACAATTTGCTTTAACTATTTTAGGTCCGTGTTTTTTTTGAAAGCTTAAATAAAAGAAGTTTATTTCAGTTTTATCAACGAAACAAATTTTACTTCAATCATTAGCTAACAATACTTCCAATTCGTATAACAATTAGTTT